CCCCCTCTTTTCCTCTCTCTCTCGTCCGTGCGCACGTGGTCAAGCAATCTCTTGTCAGATCAAGAGGTAGATGGGCGGAAGGCGGGGCGACAACACACGACCAAATGACCATACTCGATATCAAACCGATTATCGAGATCCTTGGACACGTCGACACATGCGCTCTCCGTGTCTCCCTCCTCTCTCTCCCTCTCCCTCTGCCCGCTCACACACACACACACACACACACACAAGTTTGTGTAACGTGTCGTCGAAAGGTTGTTTACACACAACTTTCAACCAATTGTACACACCCAAATGACGAATTAATCGCCTTGTTGAAACAAAGTCGTAGGCTACGCTCAGACCGATCAGTTATAATGCACCCTCCCCCCCTCCACCCCCGCATGATGCCTCCTCTGCTGGGAGCATTAACATTGTAAACAACACCGCAATTTTATTATTTACGTCCAAATCGGTGCGCGGGGACCGACCGGAAGTGCGGCTCGGCGCCATATAATGAAGTGAGGCGGCGACAATGATCGATGACGATTCGGGTGGACTCGGGGCGGGGCGGGAGGCGGGCCGACCGTCGTTGATGTCCTGCGGCAGCTGCTGCCGCAGCCAGCCCCGTCGCATTTCCGTCGACGGAGAGAAAGGTGGGGATAAAGAGTTGAAGAGGGAGGGAGGAGGGGGGAGTCCTCGTGTGGGAGTGCCGGGGAATGCGGGCAGAAAAGCAAGAAGGGCGGAGAGAAGGGGGAGGGGAGCCCCCCCCCCTCCCTCAGGCGCAGGTGCGGGTCCAGGAGGACGGGGTAAGGGCGGAAAGGGCGCCGTGCTGGGAGCGCGCCAAGAAGGTTCACGATGCCTTTCTTGGCGCCGCGGCCCGGGCCCCGAGCCACACATGTACTCGGATACGTGATGCGACACCCGCGGTGTGGAGCGGGGAGGGGGGGGGGGGCAAGCTCGCCAATGGCGCCCAGTGGCTGTTTGCTAACAAGCTCGCTCGTGGCACAGTTCGACACGCCTTGGCATCGCCGTCCCGAGCAGATACCCGGCGTGAGGCTGGCACTCGGGCGGGTAGGGGTCGTCGTCGCGGTGGTACCCAACAGCCCACACCCTCGCCGTGGCGCCGCGCCCCGCACTGGCCGACGACCTCCGCGTGCACGAGAAGGGCGGCGGGGATGTTGATGAAAGCTACTGGCTGGCGGCAACATGCCCTTACCCACAGCTGGACACCTGCCAATGTTCAGTTGAACCTTCCTGTTGCCGATAATACGTGAGAACCGCACGTCTGCTCCATAATTGTCGAATGGCTCTCACGCCAGGTGCGTGGTTAAACAGCCCGCGCCGCTGCGTTATTTTGGTTCTCCTTCTCCTCCCCGAGGGCGAGTCCTCGTGCGAGTCTCAGGCCGCCGGGCGCGGGGCGGATTGGTCCTGCACCCTTTACGATGGGGGTCGCCCTTGGCGGAAGGGCATGGGGGGAGGGAGGGGGG